AGGACCGGGGCGCCCGCGCGCGTAACGGCGAGGCGACGAGCTCGGTGGAGAAGGTGGGGAAACGCGGACCCCACTGCTTCCTCGCTAACGTTTTGCCCCTGTCGAGGATTCGCGACTGGCCGATGCGCCTCTAGTCTTTGTTTTACCTCGATGCGCCCGCGGGTTCCGTCGAGCCAAACTGATACACTCAGAAGCATCCAGCTGCTCCGGCGAAAGTCCACCTGACGGTTCACACCCGAGCTGGCTCTGAACCTGCCCGTGAGGGGCGCGGAGGGGGAGCTCCGACCCCTGGCGGCACGTGCGGAGCTGGATGGGGAAGGGGCGAAGACTGGAAAGGAGAAGAAAGCAGCCCGCGGCCGGCGGGGCCCTCTACTAAATACTTTGCCGTGTTAACTCGGGTGATGCTCCTGGCAACCCCACTGTTACCCGGGTGAGAAAACTGAGGCACAGAGAGGTTAATGTGCCAGGAGTGACAGTGTCCGAAAGTGCCTTGTCCAAAAGTTCAGAATGCTTTGATGAAAAACAGAAGCAGTAAAGGGGTCAAGAGCAATGTGACCTGGCCTTGCAGGTCAGGAACCAGGTGGACAGATGGCTCCCAGGGGCCAGGCAGGGAATAGTTCTAACTGCCCAGATTAGGGAGTTTGGAGTTCAACCTTCACTTCCAGGTACAGTCCAGGTAAATAGTCCACACACACACCACCACCAACCCTACCGAGGTGGTGCCCCCACGCATGAGAAAGTAAACCTGTTCTTGCAGTGTGCTGTGCCTAGAGGCAAAACTCCAGGTTTCCCTGAAGGCCAGTGCTTCGTCCTAAACCTGCATGCAAATATCATTTACGCTATCTATAATATCTCCTTATCTGATCTGATGGTGCTGCAGAGGCTGCCCGGGGTTTCTCTTGGGTTTTCTGCCTCTCAGGAGAGTGGCCTTGGGCTACTCTTATCCAACCCTGAGAGGCAATGATTATAAAGCACTTGAGGCCAGTAAAAGTTTGAACTGGGTGGTGTCATTTGCCAGGTGGTGATTTTAAAAAGATTTGTCTGGCAGGGTTGTAAAGGATGGATTAGGTGGAAGAAAGTCAAGTCTCAGAAACTGGGTAAATAGTGCATTAAGTACAATAATAACTTGCATTTATCAAGCATCCTCAAAGTTTAAGGCCCCGTGGTGTCGGGTCTTCTGTGCATCACCTTCCCCACCCCAACACGTTGGTCCCCTGTTCAGACCAACGCAGACCCCTTATTTACCTGTACTGCACCTGGAAAGAGCTGCCATCGGATCTGTGCTCATCCCATCCCACCTGGTGGTTCCCAACCTGTGCAGACCTGCCATAAGCCGCTGAATCCCAACTGATGACAACATTCTTCCATATTCTGTTATTTTAGAACTGGTTTGGAGATGCCTTTTCTAATTCCCCTGAAGCTTTTGCTTTCTGGTTTGTTGCTTTTTTCCTGTCCAAGAACCCTTTGCTCTTTTTATTAAGCTGGAGGGTAAAAGTGCCCTTCGAATGCTTTGACTTTCTCGAATCAGCAAAGTCAGGGTGTACTAACAGCCCCCTCAGAAGGGAGATAAGGCAGGACTTCCCACAGTCACTGGGAACATCCCATTTCTGATTATTGCTGAGCTTCTGGGCCCGAAGGAGGCTACTGGTTGGATTGGATTTGACTCTCGAGGTTTGAGCATGGATAACCCATAGAAACTTTGTTTCTTATTAGTTTTAAAATAAGGTTAGGCCCTCGCTGGTTTTGCTCAGTGGTTAGAGCGTCAGACTGCAGACTTAAGGGTCCCGGGTTCGATTCGGACCAAGGGTACGTCCCTTGATTGCGGGCTCCATCCCTGGCCCTGGTCAGGGCACGTTCGGGAGGCAACCAATCAATGTGTTCCTTTCACATCGATGTTTCTCTCTTTTCCACTCTCTCTGAAAAGCAATGGAACAAGTATCCTCGGGTGAGGATTTAAATAAGTAACATAACATAACATAACATTACATAAGGTTAGTTCCTCAAAAAGTGAGACACAGAATTACCATATGATTCAGCAATTCCAGTTCTAGTATATACCCAAAAGAATTGAAAAATTGAAAAGAGGGACTCACACAGATATGTGTACGCCTGTGTTCTTAGCAGCACTATTCACAATAGCCAAAAGCTGGAAGCAACTTAAATGCCTATCAACAGATGAATAGGTAAACAAATTGTAGCATCTACATATAATGGATTATAGTTCAACCTTAAAAAGAAATTGAATTCTGACACATGCTATAACATGGATGACCCTTGAAAACATTATGCTAAGTGAAATAAGCAAGACACAAAAGTACAGATTATATCATTCTACCTATGAGTGTACCTAGATAGACAAACTCAGAGGCTGGAGAGGGAGAGAATGTATAGATCTTCAGTTTGGGATAATGAAAGGGTTCTGGAAATGGACTGAGGTGATCCGTTAACACTGTGAGTTAATACCACTGAACTGTATACTTAAAAATGGTTAAAATGGTAAATATTATGTTATATATACTTTACCATAATTTAAAATAACACTTAAAAATCAGATTAGTTAAAGCTTTTCTATTTTGCAACTCAGATTTACATGTTAACTCACCACTCCCACAGTGATTTGCCATATTGCACAATTCAGTTTATAATCCAGGTCAAGAACACTTTACTGATAGACGGTTGCAATTTGATATGCAGGGGGGAAAAACTGAGGGGGAAAAGACAACAACCGTACAATATTCACCTTAGTTTAGGTACTATACTTAATCAACTCTGCTTTTAATAGTTACGCCTGGGATTTGTCACAGTGCAAGAAATGAGGGGCCCTGCCGCCAGGATATTACAAAATTCTTTTGCAGCAATGCATCAAATTTTTTTTAATGTTATTATTTTTATTTTAAAAATACCAAATAATACTCCTTTTTATAGGAAAATGTTCTTTATAGGTTTTTCTCTCCCCTGTGTACCATGATCCTGGTTAGGAAAAAATAACCCCCATTCCTGCTCTCAGAGTTTACAGCCCATACAGACTGCCAAGGACAGACCCGAGCGGCAACATTGAGATAATAGGTAAACACAGGAGGGAAGTGGAGGGCGAGCCGTGGTGCTGTTTTGGTGAAAATCGCCTATTATGTTAACTGACATATAGCAGATCCCTCAGTAATTTTTGTTTGCTTATTTTGGGGCTTTCATGCACATTGTGGTTATACCAAGCCTGAATGGGTGGAATTTCACATTGAGAAGGGGAATAAAAAACAGGTCTTGACAGAAGTTTTCAACAATAGGGAGAGGTGTTTCTGTTTGTTGTTTTTGCTTTTAATGACAAACATTGCTGTGAGTCATAGAAATGCCATACTTCTCTGAAGTTAAGAAGCATTTTAAACTTATTGAAGCAGTAGCCTTGACAAATAACTCATGTGTTTTCAACCTCTCTGGTCATATGATAATCAGTTCTGAAAGTGCTTGTTAATTATTACATCTTTCTGAGAGCAATTTAAGATTACGTATTCCAGATGGAATGTATGTTTTCCAGCTTTCATGAACAGAAATATTTTAAAGCAATATTCATTAATATAATTATAGTAAAAGTGTGATATTTTCCACTTAATTTTGGCATGTTTGCTTTCTTTTTAGAAAACTTTTCTTTAAAATTCTCTTAGGTCTTAGACCCAGAAGAGACTGCTAAAGTCTTTACGTAAATGCCCCTTTTTGTTCTAGCAAAGCCATCACAATTTGTTTCTCTGTTCCTGTAAATTATGCACACCACCTAAAGTTATGCATAACT